TGTTACTGTCTTTGAATGAATGGGGAAAGGGAAGTTAGTACTGAGAAAGATCTCTTATATTCTCGTCAAGTTTTTGCTTGACGGTGATTGATTAACTTTTATTTTATTGCTGACTTGCCTTATTAATTAGGGACAAACCCTCGGCACCACTAAAGATTTGTAGGAGCTTTCTGTATTTGGAGGGGGGTTGTCAGATTTTTTTTCTTTAACTTACTGTGCAAACCTCTGATCCATTGAGATATGGGTCAGAATGGGTCCTGGGTTGAAGGTAACTACCCTATATACTTGTTTGGCTACGTTCTTGGATCTGAATCAGCAACGACGGTAGGAAGAGACAAACACCCAAATAGACATTACAAGTTCCGCCTATACCCCCTGTTTGGACAGCCTAGGCTTAAAGGCCTATACCTTGGGTCCTGAAGTTTTCAGGCGGTGTTCAGTTATAGATTGTGCTATGACGATACTGTAGCTAGGCCAATATTTGAAGGTCGCTCAGCATGCCCGCCGAGAGCGGTACAAAGGAAAATGTGTAGTAAAGGGTGAGTCTCCATCAGAAAACGTACCCACACAGGATCTGTTAATGTCCTCAATTAATTATACTCGCCTTTCTCCTCTTGAGCCTGTTTTTCAGGGTTAAAACAGTGAAAACGTGAAAGATGTGGGATTTTCCAATGGGCGGAACAACATCAAGAGAAGTATGCAGAGAAGGGTAATCGTCAGTAAGCTTGGCCCTAGTTCTGCACTCAGCAACCTCTAGCCAATAGTTAGTGTTCGGACCGTGAGAAAGTTATCAGACACCTGAACTATTATTAACAAGTCTTTGGTCACGACTTTACTGCACTGGTCATCATTACCCATTTCAAAACGGAAATAGACATACCAGGAGCGGGTACGGGACAGTCATGGCCAGTGCGATGGAATCTAGCAGAGAGATCGGGAAAAGCACAGTAAGAATTACGCTTACGCTATATCGGGACAAAGTGGAAGGCTGGGAAGAGAGTGCTATCAGAGATACACCATCCCAAATTGAGATGATGAGGGAATATGCACATGATTTGGTGAGAGAACAGGGTGTCGTTGAGTATACTATTTACTTTTATGGATCCAATGGGGAGTGGCATAGCACAATTTCGCGCACTGAGTTTATTGAGTAGGCAAAGTGAAAGGAAGTTGTTCGTCAATAGCCCGTCTCAGTAACGACAATCTCTTGAGAACAGCTCTGCCTGCGCGTGTTTGGTCACCCTCGAGTGAGCTATCACAGACTATCTCGACCGTACAGCAAGGCTAGCCAAGTACTAGCTTCGGTATTATCAGGATCTCTGAGCAACTTGCATTCATCCATTCTCCTCTTCTAAAGGATCTCACCGTCAGTAAGTGATACATGGTTCTTGGTACTCAACACCGTTAACAGTGGACAACGCTGAACTCAACTACTAATGCACAATGCTCAGTTTGTTGGCAGAAAACCGAACTTGGCTAAGTTTTCAGTGAACCCAGTGTCGTGGTTGTGACCGGGCAGCATACATCTGATTCTCAGATAAGTATCCAGTCGGTGGTTAAGTGATTTCTATCTAGTCCTCTAGGCTGTCTATCAGTCAGGTTAATTGCCCGACAGAACCGACAGCAATCAGTCAGTTTTTAGAACTACAATCGGATCAGCAAGTAATCAGTCCAAGCAGTCGTATCAAATGTTCTGACCAGTGGTAGTCAGAAAAGGCTATCAGATCAGTAAGCAATTTTGCAATCAAACCAGCAACGGAATTTGAAATCAAATCGGCAATCGGTTCAGCATACATATCATTATTTCAGTAAGAGATTCAGTAATCAGAAACTGCAGTTGGAAACGGCAATCTGGAACAACTATTCGAAACAGCAATCAACCCAATAACCCTTTCACGCCCATATCATCTGAGAATCACCCGCCTCAAGTTGGGTGAACTGATGTAGCGAGAGACCAGTGAGGATATGGTGAGCAACAGCACGGTTAGAGTCTCTTGCTCACTGTATCAGAGCACTGAAGAGACCTGGAGGGAGAGTGCAGTTGAGGAGCACAATCAGCTGACTGTTATGATGATGGAACACGCTCTGGATCTTGTAAGAAATCATACTAAGATCGAGTACACATACTACCTGCACGATAAAAACAGCAGATTATGTGCCACCATAACATCTGTGGGTACTGTTGAGGAAGCAAGGAGGACAGTTGGCAGCCACCAGTGAGCATTTTTATTCCTGAACAAGTACAACTCACTCCATCCGGACATTCAACAATCATCTAATCAGTGACCAATTATCAACATTCAATTATTATTAGTGACCGGTCGAGCAATCAGTTTTTTTTCAGCAATCAGTTTCAACAATCAGTTTTCGGCAATCAGTTTTCTGCTGTCAGTTTGGTAATCAGTTCTCAGGAATCGTTTGACCAGTTTGTACTGGCGAGAGTACTCATGAGCACAGTTTAGTCTGCTCCGGTCAGTGAGTCAGTACTGGCCAGCCTCAATCGGATCTCATGCAAAGAGGCATTCCATTATCGGTATGTTAGTGCCATTGGTTTCAGACAGGGAGATCTGTCAATCTTCGTTGTCCAGACCAGTTTTGCAGATGGCACTATYCACGATCTGAGGCCTTACCTGAAGAAGGGCAAGGAGACTCATGAGCTTTTTGATCCAGTCTGGATCTCAGCCACTGGATACCTTGAGCAGAGAGAGAGGGAGCTCGATGAGAGTGGCACTACGCTGATCCGCGGCTACGGGCCAATGCTCTATACTGACTATCCTAGGCCTCCAGTCCCTTCTCTTCTCACGGATGGTACGAGTTGGTTGGATGTGATTGGATTAACAAAGAGGTACATCTCTCCGGCGGTGATCGACATTGAGGCGTTGACAGAGCCCACCGAGTACCCCTACCTCAGACGAGGAGTTTTTTCAGTGGATGGACTGCCTACTTTGTGGGAGGAGTTTTGGCTAATGGTTAACTACCGTGTCGTGTGCCTCGGATGGTCATGCTCAGAGCTAGCTGGCTACAGGTGGCTTTTTGTCACGAAGCCTCAGTCTCAGATTGTACGTAGGCGTGGACCTCGGCACCAAAGAGGAGTAGTGAAAAGAGATTGAGAGATGGACAAGAGGGATGAGTGAGGACTCTTGAGAGGTGCTGACCACACTCGTTTATGTGTACTTACTGAGATTATTATGAGTTCTCATTCTTCCCTCACTCGATTGCCTCTGTTTTTGTTTGAGTCAGTCAGCCTTGTTTTCTGCATTATTCTTGCTTGATGATTGCCATTGTGGACGTTTTGTCACAGTTCTC